CGCCTGACTTTCGTAGTGCGTCACGGTACCTGCAGGAAATGGTTTCTCACTTAGCAGCCTGTTCAATACGGGGTCAGGGCACGTCTCCCCTAGTCCTGTTCCCAGGCATCAGCATGATCCACGCCGGCTTTTCCCGGAGTGGGGCACTCAGGTGGCGGCTGGGACGCCCCAGGGCAGTGGGCTGATGCCCTGCAGACTCTCTGGGCAGGATGGGGAGTGCTGGCTGCTGAGACCACACCCGAGAACTGGCATTTGAACGGCTCTGCGGGGTGAGAGGCTGTCCTGGGTGGGGAGCCCGAGTGCTGGGTAGGGTTAGCCAGCGTCTGGCTGTTACGAATCCACACTCTCGTTCACATCTTTGTTGCTGTCCTGTCCCTCTAGGGAAGGTGAGCTCTCAGGTGCCCGGCAGTGACGATGCTCCCGCGGCCGTGCTGAGCGCGCAGGGAACCGAGTCTGAGCCCTGCGTGGCCTGGGCCGCCGGAGCCGCCGCTGTCTCTCGTCTGACGCCTTCAATGTGTCAGCCTGGGAGTCCGTCCAGCACTTGCTTTTCTCCCGGCAGGAGCCAGACTCAGCCCCAGGGAGGGGGCGGCGACTGCCAGCCCCCAGGGCAGCGCTGGCGGCCTAGGCATCAGCGCCAGGCGCTCCTCCCGCGCAGCCTGGGGCTTGCTGGGGGTTAGGGACCACTTTTTAATAAGCCACCTTTCTTAGGAGTCCAAAGGCAATTTAACAACTCAGCTACTTGTGGCTTTGTTTCTAGCAGGAGCGCTGGGACAGCTCATGGGGTGGTGGGCACCGGCTGCAGGGGAGTCTCTGTGAGGCCTCCGCGAGGGGAGGTGCTGAGGGCTGGCTCTGGGCGAGGACCGGCTGGGGGTCTCTGCCACCTCCTGTCGCAGAGATGGAGCGGCTCGGCGAAGGGGGGGGGCGGGGGAGGCTCGCGGTGGGGCGGCACCCCAGCTCTGGGCCATGATGAAGACCGGCACTAAGACAGCGGGAGTGCGTGGAGGTCGTCATGATTTGGGTTCTTCTCTCTCAGCTGGGCCCAGGCTGGAAAGCGAGCCACGTCCCCCTGCTCCCCTGGGGCACTGAGCGGGAGCTGGGCGCAGAGCACTGGGGTGGACAGTGCCCCCCGGGAGCACCGGGACTCCCCTCTGAGCCTGAAGACTGAGGTTCTCCACCCTCCCGCCCGCACACTGCACGCTGCGGCCATGCCCCAGCACCGGCTGTCCCAAGTGAAGGGCAAGGGTGAGGCTGAGGGAGGAGGGCACCCATCCCCTCAGGGGAGACAGTGAGCCCAAGGAAGGAAGGCTTGCGGCGGGAGGAGTGGGTGGGCTGGGCTGGGCACCCCAGGGCAGAGTGGCACAAATGGGACCCGCTTCCCTCTGCCCTCCCACCCGCTCCGGGTTCTGTGGGAGGTTGGTGGGAGCGGGCGGCCCTCGGTGTTCTGGGGCCCTGGCACCCCTATCCCTGCCCAGGGTCCCGCTGACAGCCAGGGGGAGGAGGAGGGAGCGGAAGGAAGGCTGGAAGAAAAGCCTTCACCACAGCTGGGATTTCCTCTGCACTGGACACAAAACGCACCCTCTCCCGCGGACCTCGGAAGCACCACGTGCCCTCGGCCTGCCCCGTGGAGGAGCCCTGAGCCCTGGGTGCTGTGCCCCCAGCCCGGCCATGCCGACCCCACCTGCTGCGCACGGCCATGAGGCACACAGCGCGGCCGCAGGAATGGGGAGCCGTGGAAGCTGAGGACCGGCCCTGAACACGCCCCTCAGTCCCTGGCACCCACGGCGATTACCCCTGTGGCAGACGGGGCTCAGATGTGGTGAAATGAGGGATTTTCAGGGTTCATCTCGGAGGCCCTGGGAGAGGGGCCAGGCGAGGAAGGCCCCGCCACGATGGGAGCGCGGAGGAAAGCCGTGCAGGCGGGCGGTCGGGGCGGTCGCGGGAGGACACGCTATGAAGCTGGGAAAGGTAGGAAGCGTTCTGCCCGGAGCCTCCGGGAGGACCAGCACTGCCCACACCCGGTCAGCGCCGAGCCGCCAGCCTCTGACCGCGGACGGACCGGGCGGGGAGAGCGGGCTGGTGCTGTGTGAGCCGGCGCTGGTGGGGTTTGTGGCAGCAGCACGAGGGACCCCATGCAGAATGGCTCACCGCCTTCTCTTCACACGGACGAGCCCTTGCCGCCCATGTTTCCCTCTTGCGTTGGTACTTGACTCACTAATGGGGAGGGAACACCGTTCTCCTGCTCTGGGACGCAGACCTGCCTCCGTGGCGGTCGGCTGACCATGGCAGGGCGCAGACCTTCTCATTCTACAGGTCTGATTGCCAAGCTGACCGTACGGACTCAACGAGCATATGCTGCCTCGCAGGCCCAGGGGAAGACCGGGCTGAGAACCGGCCCCAGGGAGGCCCGGAAGGCGGGGGAAGAGGCGGCCACTCCGATGCCAATGGGAGAGTTGCGTAAGGGAAACTTGGTAAATGAGGTGCGTGTGGGGCGGCTG